GGGGTGGGGGCTCGCGGTCCAGCTGCGCCCATTGGCCGCCGCTCCGGGGTCCCAGCCAATCCGGCGCGAGGGTCGTGCTGCTCCTGGGAGGAGGGGACCCCAGGCCTCAGCACCAGGCCACCTCGGAGCGGGACAGCCGCTGATCCGCCACGCGAGGACCTCAGCCGGGTGAGGGCAGGGCGGGGCCCAGGGCGGCTAGGCCGGTGCGGGCGGAGGGGACGCCCCAGCACGAGCCCCTCCCGCCCCGCAGGGCTGCCGCCTCTGTGGATGTTGAACGTCGAAAACCAGAAGCCCCCCAAGGGGAAATGGACCACGCCGCCCTTCGACCCCCGCTTCCCCAACCAGAACCAAACCCGTAACTGCTACCAGAACTTCCTGGGTGAGACCCGGGGCGCAGGGCGAGGGTCGCGAGGCCAGAAGCAGAGCACCCCGAGACCCCCGGGACCGTTGGGGTGGGAGGGGGCGGGGCTAGGAGCGGAGGGCGGGGCCCGGCCCGGGAGTGGGGCCGAGTCCTAGGGGGCGGGGCGCGGTGTCGGGGAGGGGTGGGGTCGAGAGAAGGGGCGGGGACTAGGGCAGAATGGGAGGAGCCCAGCCTGCGAGGGAGGAGCCAACCGTAAAAGGGGCGGGGGGCGAGGGGCCGGGGTGGGGCCAGGCCCGGGGAAGGCCTGCTCTGCGGTGGGCGTGGCCTTCCCGACTCCGCCCCCGCTCTCCGCAGACTACCACCGCTGCATGAAGGCGATGAACCGCCGCGGCAAGAGCACGCAGCCCTGCGAGTACTATTTCCGCGTGTACCGCTCGCTGTGCCCCATTAGCTGGGTGAGCGGGCAAGGGGCCCAGGGCTGCCAGGCCGAGGGCGAGGGCGAGGGCGAGTGCTGAGGCTGAGCTGCGACCCCTCCGCTCCTGCCTCCCCAGGTGCAGCGCTGGAACCAGCAGATCCAGGACGGGACCTTTGCAGGCAAAATCTGACCGCCTAGCGCGGTGCCTCCTCCGAGGAAGGCGGCCCGGTGATCGCCATCTCCTCGGCTCCTGGAGTCCCGTCCTGGGCCACCACCTTTACCCAGTCTCTAGGCACAAATAAAGCCATGTGGTTGCCTGTGCGTCTCGATGCCAGGCCGGTGATTCACGGGGTGGGGCGGGGCGGGTCCTGTGCGTCTGCCCCGAGGTGCTCTGATACCAGGTTGGGGGGGGACAGCGACCGCGCCCTCGGGGGTGCTCAGGGCTCTAGGCAGTAAGGTGGGCACCGGCTGGGCAGCCGCGGACCCCAACACCAGCCGCAGGGTTCGGGGTCCCACCCCGCATTCCCTACACCTGCCTGTCGCCCTAGTCTGTACCTGCGACCCAGCATCTCCCTCCTGCCCCGCTGCCCACCCGGCTTCCTATCCAGGCTCTGACACTGCTGCATGTCCGCCGAAACCCATTTTCCTCCCTCTCCTCCCGAAGGGCGTCCTCGGACTCCTCGCCTGCAGGCTTGCCAGTACCCGCAGTCTCTCCACTGCCATCTGTCTGTGACCTGACGCGCATCCTGTGGGACTCTGAGCCCGTCTGACCTATTCCTCCCTTGTTCCACTCCCGCAGCCTCATCACGCTGGGCGCAGGTGTTCCTTGAGCTGTTACCCCTCCCCCTGCCAAAGCCTGACACCGGCCAGAGCCAGCGACTTGCTGCCCAAGGCTGTTGGCTGCCCCGCCCCACCCACCATGACTCTTGGGGGGACCCAGACCACCCGGGCCACCACCTGAGCTCCCTGCAGTCAGGGATCGGAGATGAATCGTGACAGTCCACTGGGGTGCTGGTCAAGCCTGTTTCCCCAGCGGCAAGCCGAGATGGCTTGGAGTCCTGTACCAGGAACAGCAAGGCGGCGGGGACAGGTGGGCAGCAGGAAGGGTCTGTCCCACCCCCGCTCCGTGAGGACCTTTCCACCGCCGCCCATGTCGCTCACCCCCCGACCCAGCCAGGACAGCGCAAGAGGACCGCCCCAGGGATAGCTCCAGCTCCAAAACCCAGTCTCCTAGCTCTGCCTCTGACCGTGAACAGAAAGGTGGAGGACACGGATGTAGAGGGGACCACATGTGGGCACTCAGTATCTCCAGAGCCACAGAGGGGCATTGCTGTGGGAAAGGAAGCCATGCAGGTAGTATCCAGAGCACAGGACACTGCCAAGCCCTGCCCAATCATGGCTACCTCAAAAAAACAAATAGGGCTGGGGATTTAGCTCAGCGGCACAGTGCCTGCCTGGCAAGTGCAAGGTCGTGAGTTCAATTTCCCTGTACCGGAAAAAAAACAAACAAACAAAAGGGAGCGGGGGGGTTTAGCTCAGCGACACAGCACTTGCCTGGCAAGTGGGAGGTCATGAGTTCAATTCTGGGTACTGAAAACAAACAAACAAATCATGGCTACTCATGCCCTCCAGAGTCCAGCACTTGGAATTTATTTTCTCCCGATGGCCAGCGATCCTCCTCCACCCCTCCTCCTTGGGCCCATCATCCTCCCCGCCACTGTCCTGTGCACATAATCTCACATACCCACCCTCCCCTGCCCTGCCTCCTGCCGAGTGGGCTGTCCCACACAGAGGCTGGGGACCCTTCTGCAGCTTCTCAGCCGGCGTCCCCACCTGGGTCCACCTCGGAGGCCCCAGCACCGGCCTGTCTCTCTGCAGCCTCCCAGTACGAGGCCCAGCTGCAGCTCTCCAGCCACACATGCCCGGGCTGGGTACTGGCCGTGTCACTGTCTCACCTCCAATAGAGGACCACACCTGTGCTTCCTAGGGCTGTGGGAGGAGGTGACAGTGCAGGAAGGTGTTGCCCTGTTCTGAGTGTGCAGACTTTGTCTACAGAAACAGCTGGGGCACTCAGAACACCTGTACCCTACTCTGGTGCCCACTTCTATGCTGGGCCTCCAAGGGACTAGGGGTGACCCCATCAACTAGGCCTGTGGCCCCTGGAGGCGTCTGGTCGACCCGCGCTCAGTATAGCGGTCAGAGAGCACCTGAAGGGGAGGAACAGGGTCTGCCGCTTCCTGGGGAGGGGCGAACCCACTTGTGTTCACCTGAGAGCAGCGCTCCTGGCACGCGTTAGCCTGGTTTCCGTGCTTGCGGCTGCTTTCCCATTTTAAGTCCCTTCTGTCTCTGCCTGTGGCTGCCTATCTCCTGATCCCTCCCGCTTCCTGTTCTGCCCAGGGTAATCCCAGGCAGTCACTGCCTCTAGGGACCTAAGCCACCTAGTAAGCTCCTGATGCCAAGTCTGGACTCCACAGAAATGTCCCCCAGGTCCCACCAGCTGGCCAGTGCCAAGGTCAACTCCAGGAGCTTCCCTGTTGTACCCAGTGGTCAACGTAGGAACCCCAGGCAGCTGGGCGGGCTCTACCCACACAGCCAAGGGGCACTGGGCAGGGCACCTCCCTCCCCAGGTAACTACCTGTCCACAGGCAACAGTCCTGGTCATGCTGAACCTCCAAGGGCTGTCCTGTCCTATCCGCACTGCTGCTGGGGAGACCTGTAGCCCCCTCCTTCATTCTGTTTTCTTTTTTTTGTCTTTTTTTTTTTTGGTACTGGGAATCGAACTCATGACCTCAGGCTTGCCAGGCAAGTGCTTATGTCACTGAGCTACATCCCTGGCCCATATTTTTTGTCTTTTTGAGACAGGGTCTCGCTATGCAGTTCCGCCTGCTCTTGAGCTCACTTTGTAGCCCAGGCTGGCCTGGAACTTGCAAGGATCCTACTGCCTCAGCCTCCCAAGTGCTGGGGTTACAGGCGTGCACCACCACACCTGGCCCCTCCTTCATTCTTAATATGGCAAAGAAAAGGAGCAGGCCTCATAGGAATGGCATTATGAGGAGGAATTTTCTCACTGCAAAGGGAATGAAGGCGGCCTATCAGCCAACACATACAGATGAACTTTAAAGTAAAAAGTCACCTGCTCTCATCTCTCCCTCATGCACGGACCACCTGCACCTGCCTGTGTCACAACACTGCCTCGGCTGTCCGGCAGGCTTGCTCCCCGCCAGGCCCGGGGGCCTTGCCCTCCCTGCTCCAGGGTGACCACGTCCAAGCCCCCGGACACACACAGGTGACCGCTGCAGGGCGGAGGGGTCTGAAAACTGCCTGTGACGCTGCACAGGGAGCTGGAGCCCAGGCACTCACTAGCCCTTGGCTGAGAGCTCCCTCCTTGCACCCTCAGCCGGGCTCCAGGGTTGCTGAGAGGGCAGTGGCGGAGCAGGGCACAGACTGCGCAGGAAGACAGGCGCTGCCGCGGCCCAGCACACATGCACACACACGCTTCTGCACACCCAGCTGAGGTGCGGGCCGCTGAGCACACGGAGCCCTCAGGTCCCCATGTGGCCTCAGGCAAGTCACTGCTGCTGGGCTTGTCACCCTGCCTGAAAACAGGGGCCTCTCCTGAGAGAACGGGCCTCACGCAGCGTGGGCACTGACAAGGTTTGAAGCAGGCCTTTGCACTGAGCTGCATACCCAGTCCTTTCTATTTTTTTGAGACAGTCTCCATAATCATTAAATTGCTCAGGCTGGGCTCAAACTTGGGATCCTCCTGCCTCAGGCTCCCGGAGTGCTGGTATTCCGTGGACAGTTTCTGCCTCAGACCCTGCAGTCCTCAGAACCCACGACCCTTCACCCTCCCAAAGCCGCTCACAGCAGCCCCCTGGGCCCAGCCCTGTGCCACCCCTCTCCAGCACAGCTGTGGGTCTGGGTCACCCTCCAGACTGAGGGCCCCCAACACACAAGCCGGATCAAAAAGTCCCAAGGACACTGCTTATAACAAGGTTTTAATAAAATAAAAAGTTCAAGTGGTTTCAATCCCCCAACATACCCCATTCTGGTGTGGCGAGGGGAGGGAGCCCCCCACACCCTAGTAGCACCAGGGATAGCACCATAGAAAGATGAGGTCGCACCCAGCCTCCCTGAGACCCACGGGCAGTGAGGGGGACGTGCCCTGACACCCCCCACCCACTGCCCCCCACGTCGGACAGAGCAAACCCACTCCCCGTCCTGGAGGGCCACCCCTGGTTCTACCTCCTCAAGGCCTGGCTTCTGGGGAGATGCCATGGGGTGTCCCCACCCTCTTATGGCTTTGCTCCCTGGGGAGGGCAGGAGGGGAGAGGGGCTCCTGTAGTCCTGAGGGGGTGCAGCAAGGACAGATAGCAAAGGCCAGGGCTCCCTGCTGGGTCGGGTGGCTCAGGAGACAGCAGTCACAGAGGGGCAGGGGTCAGACCCTGGGGATGGGTAGCTAACCCCTCCTAGGGTGGGAGGGAGGCCCCGCCTCACCTGGCCCATTATAACCCCTCGCTGTTGACATCCAGGTTGATGGAGCCATGGCTCACCACGAGCCGCAGGCGCCTGGGCGGGGAGAAGGAGGCAAAGGCGAGGGCCTGCTTGGGAACGGGGACCGGAGCGAGGATGGGGCCTGTGGTGCCGGTGGGGGCAGGGAAGGCTGGTGGGGCCGGGGCCAGGCGGTTGAGGTCCACACGCACCACGTAAGGCAGCCCGTACCGGCGGGCCCAGTGCCAGTCCTGCTGGGGGGCCCAGCGGGCACGATGGGGCAGCCCCAGGGCCACCAGGGCCTCTGCCCGCAAGCGGCAGTGGGGGCTGCAACCTCCCCAGCGGTGCAGGGAGACCTGAGCCTCACGGAGGGCGGGGGGCACCCGGGCCTGCTGGGGCCGGGGGCGTCGGCGCTTCCGGGGACGGGCTCGTGGCTGGGGCTGGGGCAGCCACTGGAGCCAGAGCGGCAAGCTGTCCAGAGGGGAGATGCAGGCCGGCAGGCGTGGGGGCTGGCAGATAGCTGCAGACGAGACACACAGGTCACGCTGGGTGGGGCTTCCTCTGGAGAGCAGAGGGAGGCTGGAGGAGGGAGGGTCCCCGTGGGGCTGTGCTCACCGCAGAACGCGTCCCAGCGCAAGGGGGACAGGTGGGTGCAGGCCCGTGGGCCCAGCCGGCTCTGCCATCTACTGTCCCGGCCTCGCTGTAGCCGCCGCTTGGTCTCCCGGAATGCGTACTTGTCAGCAGGCTGTGGAGGCAGCTCGGGCTCCCGGGGCCGCAGGCGGAAAGCTCCTTCCCCCTTCCTGGGGGCGGGCGGGAGGGGACGGGGCAGAGCGAGGGCTGGGCCCCCATGCTCCTGGGGCTGCTGGCCCGCCCTCCCCCGCCCTGAGGCCGTGCCCACCTCTCACAGGTGTAGCATTCACAGTGCTCATTCTTCTCACCGAAGAAGCCATCGCCGTAGAAGCACGTCACCTCGTCCCCCGGCTCGATATCCCGAAGTGCCTTCACGCAGGCTGCATTCCCATCTGCGGGCACAAACTAGGGCCGGGCCCACTCAGCACTGGGCCTGGGGTGGGGGCTTCTCTGAGCCCCGCCTGGCCAGGCACCCCAGTCCCCGAGACCCTGAGAAGCACCAACCTGAAGTGGCCGCACTGGCAGGGCCTGCACTCTGCACGCGCTCTGGCTGAGGCCCCTGACTCCAGGGTGAGGGGCCCCCACCTCCCAGCAGCGGTCAGCGCCAGCACCAAGAACTGCTGACTGCCCCCTCCCACACTTGCTTCGGGCTCTGTGGCTGGGCCGAGGTCCACCCCCGACACACCCAGAGCCTCACACCCTGGCACCCTGCCTTGGGCCACCTGCCCTTCCCCGAAGCCTAGGGCCACTCTGCAGCCCAAGCTGTGCCTTCTAGCTCTGCCTTCGGGACCTGTCCCTGGCGGCCACCCCAGGAGTCCCCCTCGGGCTGCCCCCGTGCCTGCACCTGCCTCTACAGTTCCAGTCCTAGAGGGTGTGTGACCTCTTCTATCTGTCCGTCCACTCAAGCCTAACACTCCCCTGAAGCAGCCCTTCACACCTGCGCACCTGCCTGATGACCCGCAGGCCAACTGGCCCACAGCCGCCTGCAGCCCTGTCCTCCTCGTGGGGCAGCCCTACCCGGAGGGAGCTTTCACCGCCTCCAGCTCCATCCCACACCCACCTCTGGGGGCTGCCCCAGCCGGGCCACTCCCTCCCCGCCAGTCCTCCCGTGCTCCAGCTGCAGTGGCCGCCTAGAAACCAAGCCCTCCCATGTCCCCGGCTGGAGCCTCTGTGGCTCCCTGGCCTGACCGTGCCACCCTTGGGCACGCTGGGCCTCGCCACAGCCTGGACCCCTGGAGAGATGTGTCCGGCCTGAACACCCTCTCGCGCTCCGGCTCCCCTTCCACACCGTGGGAGACCTTGCTCCTCCAGCCCTCAGCGTGCCCCTACCGCTTCCTGGCCCCGTGCGCTGCTGTCTGCACTCTGCCTCACCCGGCGTCTGCGAACGGCTCGACACCACCAGGCAGAACCTTTGTGTCCCTCACCCTGCGACCGTCTGCGGGAACCAGGTGCCCACAGCCTGACCTCACACTGCATCTAGGGGCGAGGTCTCACCATGTTCCCGAGAGGAGAAGCCCAGGGTGGGCGGTGCAGCCAGCACTCAAACCTGGTTCTCATCCTGGAGCCTGAGCTCGGGCCGTCTCCCTCCAGCGCTCCCTGCCACACCCGACAAGGCACCTACCGAGACCTGGAGCAGGGCCGGCCCCTCGCTGCCCCTTCCTGCGCGCTCTGTGCCAGCCGCTGTCCCCTGCCCCGCCCCCACTGAGTGTCTATGGGGTCCGGGCTGTGCTTCTTGGGGCTCCCCGGCTGTTTCCCTATACCCGCTGTCACCGCTGTCTGGTTGAGTCCAGGCTCAGATGGGAGACCCTGGCTGCCGGTCTGTCCCCGGGCTACACCTGAGCTGCTCTGGACAGCACCCTGGGCTCCAGGGCCCATCCCAGCCATACACTGCCCGTCCCAGGCCAACGACTGCCAGGACTGGGAACTGCTCTTCACTACCCCAGACGTCCCTCCCGCCCAGGACCCCTTACTGCCCACTGTGCCGAGCCCACAGGTCTCACCTTGCAGTTCGGTTTGCAGTCTGGAGCCAGCGGTGGGGGAGAAGAGAGGCAGTGAGCACAGAGGGCCCAGGGAGCCCTGCAGGGGCCCGGGGGGACGGGAGGGGGAGGGGGAGGGCGGACGGGGGATGGGACAGGGAACAAGGTGAAGACGGGACAGGGACGGGCAGGGTCGGGGTGGGGACGGCCCCCTTACCCCAGGGCTCACCGTGGTTGATGAAGGCGGCAGGGCCGAGCCACAGCTGTGCACTGCGCTTGCGGGTGGAGTACATGATGCTGAAGTCGTTCTCACCGGCCCGCAGCAGGTCCTCGTCGGCCTCCCGCAGCTCAGCGATGCAGCCCACCAGCATCTCCAGCTTCTCGTTCTTCTTCCTACCAGGCGGCAGGACCCAGCGCTCAGTGCCGCCGCCAGGGCTCAATTCCAGGGACCCCTGTGTGACACCGCGCCTGTCCCCCAAGTCCTCCAGGACCATTTCTGCACCCCACCCTGCCCCAGCGCAGCTCCCCGCCCACACAGCCTCTTTACCAAGCGCGGGTGGACACGATCTTGGCCCCGTTGGTCTCCATGGAGTATCGGGTACAGGGCAGGATGGTGAAGCCACTCTCAGGCAGGAAGGCACGGAGGTAGCGAAACACCTGGGGGTAGCGGCTGGGGTGAGGTGAGGGCAGACCGGTGGCGGGGGCCCACTCTCTAGGACTCTGGGAGTGTGGTCTGGGCCTCAAGTTTCCTCCTGGGGCCTGTGTCCTCATCTGACATAGGCAGAGGTCCCTTCTCCACTGTCTCCGGGTCCCCAAGGACACAGTCAGGGGCCAAGGCGTGAGCAGGAAGGGGTCCCTCACGTGGGTCTTGAGGGCAGCCTCCTGCCGCGGGTCCCGGCTCTGGAAGTAGTGGGCCATCCAGCCTCCCAGGGTCAGGGCCTGGTAGGCAGCCTCCAGGTCCCGCTGCCGCAGGAAGGCCTCCAGGGCCGAGCGCAGGTGCTGCTGTCGCCGCAAGGTGGGCACGGGGCTGGGAGAGAGGGCACACCTGGGTCCCAGGGCCTTCTAGGCCCTGCCAACCCCCACCCCACGTGGAGCTGCAGGGAGGGCGGGCCGAGGGGCAGGGTACCAGGGGAGGGGTCCCGGAGCCGCAGCCAGCCGCCTTGGCCCCTGGGCTGCTCACCTGACGTTCATCTTATGGGTGCGGAAGCCGAGGTAGGGGTCGAGGACCAGGCTGGTGGCCAGGTCATCGTTCTCACACAGTTCCCGGGCTGTCACTCTGTCGGGCCCCATGCTGTTCTGTGGACAGCAGGCAGCCTGGGGGCACAGCTGGGCATGGGCCGGAAGGCTCCCACAAGCTGGGCGGCACTCTGCTGGGCCCTGTAGCCTGCACATCTGTAGAGCGGAAGGTAGGGGCAGGCTAAGTTCCCAGGGCTGTGCAGGGCGGTGACTAACAAGTACTCCGGACAGCGGGCAAAGCCCCCACCCTGGCTTGCGTCAGCACCTCCAAACCCCCACCCGCCGCGCAGACACACCCCCCAAAACGCACCAGCACCTCCCTCACCCCTGCACAGCCTCGAAGACCCCACCGAGTGCACCGGGACCGGCCCCGTGGGCCCGGGAAGCTAATTCTCTGGCAGCTGGAGACAACCCACGGCTCAGCGCTGTGGGCCGCGCAGGAGAGCTGGGTCTCGCCCTGGGAAATCGAGGCGCCCGCCCCTCCTGCCCAGCAGCCCCAGGGAGTGGCCGGGAGCCCAGGGTGCAGCCCCAGGCAGCCCGCAGGGGCTGAGGAAGAGGCCCAGCTGGGAGAGACCCCAACACCTGCTCCCTCTCCCAGGAGTCCAGAGGGGGGCTCAGCAGACAGAGTGGGCCAGGTGAGAGGAGAGGGCCGGCGTGGAGTGGCAGGCCAGGTGAAACGGGGAGGAAAGAAGAAGGGGGAAAGAAAAGAAAGCAGTTAAGCAAAATGAGCCCAGGCACAAGCTAGCGTGGACGGAGGGCCGGAGGGCCTGTCCGGGACCCGCAGCACGGCGCCCCGGCCCACCTGCGCCCGCCGAGGGGCGGGTGGGGCCCGGCAAGGAGGGGCGGCGGAGGCATCAGGGCAGCTACATCGCCGGGGGCGCTGCGGGGCAC